TAGTCTTTTTGCGCGTTAGAAATTCTATGTTTTATTGAAAGAGCTTTTTGTTTAGTAATCCGAGAACGTATTTTGCTTCTCGCTCAGGAATATTAAAAACATGCCTGACTGATGAAGAAAACTGTATGCCCCCACAAACAGTTTTTTCTGTTCTCCGGAGTTGATATAACAAGTTTGTTAAAACAACCTGAATTGTAACTTTATTGGCTTAATTTGGAGATTAGAAAGATGAATTTGCAAATGATACAGAAAGCAGCGTTTAAAAAAAAAAACTTCCAGCTACTACACTAAATTTTTATCTACCGAGCAGAAAAACAAACACCCAAAATTAAACTGAAGGTGTGCTTCACTGCTATCAGGGACAACTCCATGTTTAATTTTCCGACTTTCGATACGCAAGTAGCGGATTATTTGTGCTCGGGTGGGTTTTTTTTTCTTCAGACAAATTTCGACTTTTTAACTAGCATTTTTGACGGAATTTTTTTATATCGTTCAAAAGGTATTGTTGTCCTAAGATTAAATTTGAAAAGATATTTCACCTGCGATCATTTTTCGTAAAGTTATGGGGGATTAAAGATTGGCATTTTGGCCAATTTGGGACAATTAACGCGCGATATATTTCGCGCTTTTAACGCGTAAGCGGAGATTTATTCCATTCAAGAAATCGTTCCAAATTGGCTGAAATAATCTTATTTGCCATAATTGATTGTTACTAGCAGCGAAATCTATTCTTTTGTAAGGCTGATTTTTAGAAAAAACTTCAAACTTCAGAAAAAAAATCAAATTTTCATTTTGTTTTTTTTTTACATTCAATTTTTTTTATGTTATTACTGCTCAATAGACCTTAAAAGGCAGACGGAACATTCAGGGCTTCGTCTTGATACGAGCAGTCTTATTTCATTTTCGCCGCTCTCTGTCTGCTCTGTAGATTTGGTAATCATTTAGTAGTGGCTACGAAATTAAAACAAGACTGCTCGTGTCAGGGTGAAGCCCTGAATGTTCCGACTGCCTTTTAAGGTTTATGGAGCAGTAATAACATTAAAAAGTTGAACGTAATGAATTAAAATTAACATTTTTATTTTCTAAAATTTGAAATTTTTTCTTTGAAAATCATCCCCCCACACGCCATATAAAGTACGAAAGGATAGATTTCGCTCCTTGTAACAAATCACTTATGGCAAGACGGATTAACTTTCAGCTACGCGTTAATAGGGCGAAATCGCGCGTTAATTGTCCCAAATTGGCCAAAATGGCAATCTTTAAACCCCCATAACTTTACAAAAAATGATCACAGGTGAAATGTGTTTTCAAATTTAAGCTCAGGGCAACAACTTCTGTCGAATGATTTAAAAACATTCCGTCAAAAATGGCTAGTTAAAAAGTCAAAATATGTCAGAAGAAAAAAAACCACCCCGAGCACAAATATTCCTTTTCTTTCGTATCGAAAGTCGGAACAAAAGTCTCGAACAAAATATTTTCTTTGTCACTTTGTCGCTTTCCTTTTTCTCGGATTTTTTTTGCACAAAAAAACGATGAAGTACATAAAGTTTCTGATGACTGATCAGACTGTTCAGTTTGAATCTGCTGATGAGGTGAGTTTCCTAAGGATCATTTTGCTTTCTTTTCGACAGAAAATCTTTCATGAGATGAAGGATGGGAATAGTTGTTTTTTGGAGTTATGATAGCACTTTATTTGCAAAGAGGGTTGTTCTGTCTCGTTTGAGGGGTGGGGCACTCTGTTTTTTATGACGTCGTGTCACAGAATCATACTTTCGCCACGATAAATTTTTTGAGGATACTGAGGGTTCGTTTCTCAAATCGGGCCTCTGGGTGAACACATTAACCGGATTTCGATTTAGGTATAATGTTTATTGATAGTCGGTTGCCAACTTTCGGACATTGTTTCAAAGCCCTTTTTAGTAAATCACAACTACCATTTGTGAAAAAGGGCCACGAATACTGTCCCGTTATCCAATTTATCTATTTCGTGCACTTTTATGAAGCCTTAAAAAAGGAAACTTCTGATAAAAATTGTCTTCACATTTAGCTTGAAGTCGAGATGTTTAAGTATTGCAGCTTCACTGTTAGGACTTGAAACTTTTTCACGACGAAACTGCAATTAACAAATATCAACAAACAATTATCTAAAATTTGGCTGCTTCATTCATAAAGCTGGTTCCTAAGCATTCGTTGAAACTTATTTCAGCAAAGAAATTCATCAATTTTTCGAACAAAATTCAAAGCGCCCAAACTTTGTGAGCCAGGCTAAACATAAGTAATCACATTCGACTGCAGACAAGCCTTTTCAATTTTCTCCTTTAATTCAAAGTTATAACTTCCTAAAACTTTGCCAAATTGTCACCTAACTACTATCAGCGTCATCATATAAGAAACAATAGAAGCCAATAACAGGCACTGTTTTTGATAGCTTACCAATTACTATCAATTATTAGAAAAAAGTAACTATTGTAAAAATATTCAATCATATGACGAGAATTTATGAAAATACTGTATTTCAACGGTTTCATACGTCGGCAGTTTTCTATGACTTCTATGGAACCATGATACATTTTTCAAAAACAAGCCAAAAGGCGTTTTAGGCACTTTTAGGAAAATTTTGACCAAAAAAATCTACTCCCCTCAAAATTAGTTATATTGGCGCCAAAGGAAAATTGTACGCTTGGTCAGCCAAAAAAGGATGTCGTAAAGTTATGCCGAAGGGATGACCCTTTGGAAAAATTTGGCAACCAGAATTGAGGGTAACAGCCTAAACTCTCTTTAGTTTTATTTTGACGACCTATCAGAATGACAACCCAGACGCCTTTTGTAGTTTGCCATCATTTTTTGTAGCAAATTCATAATTGACGCAGAAAAATTGAATCTGATTCGTAATTTTTTTTTTACACTGAATGAAACAATAAATGCTTTTATTTCTGCCGATTGAAAATCTCATCAGTTGTCGACTAATAAAAATCAGTTGTTTGCAGACATATTACCGTTTGGCTAAGTCCGGCTCGAATTTTGGTTTGGATTGTTCAGAAATGTAGCTTTAAAAAAATTTTGATCAAACTTATTGCGCCAAAAATGGTCCGTTTTAAGGGTCAAGTTCTGTGTCCAAGATTTTTTCACTTGAAAAAATGAAATGAAATTCATATGCAATTTTGTTATCATCGTCTTTTTAGCCTTGAATTAACTCAATTCAAAAAATTTTAGAAACCAATTAGTTTGTGTTTTGTACAGTCAATTAAAATCATAGCTGTAGAACCATGATCATCGGTCGAGCCCGTCGATATACACATCTGAATTTATTTCAACATACCGCACTTGTGGCAAAACATTTACAAATAAACGAATTTTGGTAATAAAGTCAAAATTTTGATTTTAATAGTGAAGCTGTAGTTATTAAACATCTCGAAGTTAAACTCAATGTGAACATAAAGTTTTCAAGCCAAAAATTTCCCGGATTTTAATTGTTTCGCCGTACAAAAATTATGCACTTCTACCAGTGATTAACCTTCGCATAGACCCCCTGATGACCCCTAAGGATTCAAATACATACTCGGAAATTCGAGTCCCTGACTTTTAAAACGGCCCCTTTTATTAATGTTTAACGAGATCAACTTTTGGTAAGTTAATCATAAAAGTTTTCTAAGGGCGTCGTAGCATCCATGAGGCCTTAATTTTGCGGGCGTATTTTGCGGGCGTAAAAAAACGTGAGTTCTTAAAACTGTTTTGATATATTTTGGAAAAAATTTTGACAATGAAAAAAAAGGTAAAAAATTTTCTAAAATGTTCCATATTTTGTTGAAAACTTGACCGTCCCATCGAGAAAACCCTAGATCCGCATTATGAGGCCAACCTGTGAACTAGATAGGCGCACAATTTGATATCTGTATCTCCTTGTATTCCAGAGACAAGTCATAAAACATGTTCCAAAACTTAAGTGGTTTCGAAAATTTCCGTGAAGTACGCGTACAAATAACTGTAAAAAAAGTTGTCATCACAATAAATTGTCACTAAATCTGCAAGGACAGAATATAGCTAGTTGTTCTAGATTCCGCAATTGTAACGGATTCCGCAATTGAAACTTCAGTGGAATGTAGTTTTGTTTGTTATACTGAACTGAACCAGTAATTGTGTGAACATTTAGGAGCTATGCTTAGAATTTTCATCTAGCAAATGCAGAATTTAAAAGCAAATTTTTAATTATTGTCAGTGGAATCCATTAAAAATTCTTAAGTCATTGTCTCGCTGATGAGTCACAAAAATATATTTAATTTTAAAAAGTAATTTTAAGACGCAACTATATATGTTACTAGAATCCGTAAGCTAAATGCGGATTTCGCTTACAATGTGCCGCTTCTGCTAACAATTTGCAGATTCTGCTCACAATTTACGGACCCCCCCCCCCAATTTGCGGATTCTGCTCACAGTTGTGGATTCCGCGGCAGCTCATTTTTATCATACCTACACTTTTTCATTTGCTTGTGGATTCCACAAATTGTTCTGGATTCCGCAAATAATGTTGCCTGTTTTGGAGCGATTCTGAGCGGTACTGTCGTTTAACTATTTGTTTGTGGAATCCAAAACAGCAAAGAAGATCAAAGAAAACTAGCCTTGTTGCTGATTCCGCAACAAATCTGATTTGGCCTGTTGCGGAATCCGCTTAAAATTTTTAAACAAAAAGCACAGTTTTGCCTCGTAATGGCCTCTTATCAAATCTATCCATGAAAAGGCTAAATTTTGATTGGTTTAGGGCACCGTTTTCAGATATTATTGTTTTTTTTGTGACCGAGAAATATTGCCATGACGTCGCTGCTACCAACGACATACCATGCCTAAATGCTCTGATTACTACTTTCGAATCTGATATGCCTTTCTCAAGGACAGTAGACCCGCGAGTAAACATATATAATCTTTTTAGTTTCTTGGCTACTTAATTTATGCAGCTAATTTTTGGTACCACTAACTCTTTGGAAAATATGAATACTTCAAACTAATTGGTGTGAAAAGTTCATTGAATTGAAACTAATGGATTATTACAAGCTGAATATGATTCTTTCCTTTATAACTTGAGTCATGATCAATCAGTTTTAAATTGGTTCTTTAAATGAACATTTGCGAGGGAAACAGTCTGGCCATGAAACCGGGTTTCTCTTTTTTGGCATTTCTATGTGTTTCATTGGAGCTTTCTTCGTGGCCTTGTTTATTGTGGTCTTCTGATGTTTTTTCCTGAGTGTGATCTTCATCACGGCCTTTTTTATGGTTTCCCTCCTCGCTTTTTCTATGGTTTTCGTCATGGCCTTTTCTATGGTTTTCATCGTGGAAATTTCTATGGTTTTCGTCTTGGCCTTTTCTATGATTTACTTCATCACGTTCTCTGTCATTTTCGTCATGGCCTTTTCTATGATTTCCGTCCTCGCCTTTTCTATGGTTTGCTTCATGGCCTTTTCTATGGTATTCGTCATGGAATTTTCTATGGCTTTCGTCATCACGTTTTCTGTCATTTTCGTCATGGCCTTCTCTATGATTTTCTTCATCACGTTCTCTGTCATTTTCGTCATGACCTTGTCTATGATTTCCGTCTTCGCCTTTTCGATGGTTTTTGTCATGGCCTTTTCTATGATTTACGTCATCACGTTCTCTGTCATTTTCGTCATGGCTTTTTCTATTATTTCCGTCCTCACCTTTTCTATGGTTTTCGTCATGGTCTTTTCTATGGTATTCGTCGTGGAATTTTCTATGGTTTTCGTCATCACGTTCTTTGCCATTTTCGTCATGGCTTTTCCTATTATTTTCGTCATCACGTTCTCTGTCATTTTTGCCATGGTCTTTTCTATGATTTCCGTCCTCGCCTTTTCTAAGGTTTTCGTCATGGTCTTTTCTATGGTATTCGTCATGGCCTTTTCTATGGATTTCATCATCACGTTCTCTGTCATTTTCGTCATGGCCTTTTCGATGGCTTGATTCCGCTTTTGGTTGCTTGGGATTTTCTTCATGGCTTTTTTCAGAGTTTGCTTGCTCTTCCTTTATCTCGGGTTTGGTATCATGGCCTTTTTCATAGTTTGGCTCGGCATCTTTTTTCTTAGGTTTGTTATCATGGTCTTTTCTATGGACATTTGGCAACTTAGTTTGCTCAGATTGAAGCTCTCGGTCAAGCCTCAGGAGAACACTCCGACGGAATTTGTCAGCTCCAATGCATGCACGCAAAAGAACTTGGCTTTGCTCCGAGTTCAAGAAGTGTACTGTAAAATTATTGATGGAACTCAATTCTTCAAAGCGAACAATTTGCGACGGGTGTAGTGATGTTTTCTCTTCTACTGGACGCAGTTTCAGCACACCTGAAGTATTACAAGATTTCAGAAATTAGATTATCTATAAGAGTTTACAATAAAACTAAATGAATCTAAAAAAAACAAGAGTAATCAAATAGAACAGAGTTATCCCGCCATAACTATTTTCCATAACAGCTATTTTTGTTTAAAAAAAGCAAAAAAAAATTTTTATCAGTTTTTTTTATATTTTCGGGAAAACACAATGGTTCTTTTGATAAACAATCAAGACTTTCACAAATTTAGAATTGTTTTTTACTCTTTGCTCTAAATGCTTTGCACTGCTTTAGAGAGTGATAGGTTTGACACAAGTACAGTAAAAACAGAGGCTTGCGCATAATTATTTTGAGGAGGATTTGCAAAAGTGTGCCAACCTTTTTTTAGGTCGGCCTTTTGGAACTTGTCGAGCTCTACCGAAACACAAGAATGACCAGAAAACCTTCAAAAGACCATAAAATCCTAGAATGGCCATTAAGTCATAGTATGGCTGTTGTAAAATAGTATCAAAGGAGGCGGGACTTTTTGGAAAATATTAGCAACCAGAAAGGAGGTTTTTTCCCTCTGTCCGATCGACAAAAAATGTATATATTTTTTTGAAAAGATTTGCATTTAGATGTGCATTTAGCGCAAATACCCTGCGGCTGGCAGTTCCGAATTTCACTGCCTCTGTACAACTATATGCTTAAACTCAAAAATTCGACAAAAGTGGTAAGCAGACCTCATGAAACGCTTAATATAATGTAAAAAGTTTAACCCTTCTTGAAAATCTCCCCCCCCCCCGAAACATTTATAGAGTGTTCCATAGCATTTTCTTACCCATATCATTGATTTCAACTTCGACTGTTAATTTTGCCGACCGCAGAGGCCCCCAGCGTTTCTCCGAACTGCTTCCAATCTTCCAGTGGCCTTCCACATATTCGGGCTTGTGGAAGGGCAAACGAGACGCATCTGGACTTATACAAGCCAGTGATGAGCCAGAAACCAGAAACAACAATGTTGAAAAATAGAGAAGGGAAATAACTGACTTCATGATATTAAGATTGAAAACCAAATGGCTTCAACAGAACTATAGACCAGCGAACTCTCGGTTAACCACATTCACCATAACATTTGCAAATAAAATGTTTTGAATACTTGAACGTTGTCATTTAAGCTTAAATGTTACAATTCCATTAGTTCATGTGAACCAAAAAATAAATATTTAATTTCAATCAAATTTTTAAAAGTCAAATGCCGAGAATACTGGCGGACACTCCCTACATGATTTTCACATATATGAAATTTTAAACAAGAATACTGCTTCCTAATAGACTATGAAGTTTGCCCGATGTCAAGACCGTGCCTCAGTTTTGTGCGATAGAGTAAGCACAATTTTTGGGTTGGGCACTTTGTTTAAAAAAAACTGAGTAGCAGTTTACTGCGTAAATAGCACAGGATGTTCCAGCCACAGTAATTAAAAAATCAAATATATATTTATGTAGTTTGTATGCGTGTATGTGAATGGTGTTTGTATTAAAAAAGAGAGATCGAAAACTACGATCGGAAACATAAAACATAACATGGGCGGATCTAGGATTTTCTCGAGGAGGGGGCGGATTTTTAAAAAACTTTTGTCGACCTTTTTTTAGGTAGACCAAATTCAGTTTCCGAGTGGTCCCAGAACGCATTGAAGACCCAATTTAGATTAATTTTGGGCGCCGCAGGCAAATTTTTGATAAAACTGGTCAAAAAAGGCGGTTTTAGGTAATTTTTCAAAATATTGACCAAAACAATTGCGTTTTTTGGCGCATGCTCCCCCCTAAAATTTAGTATATTTTGGCGCCAAAGGCGCCTTTAGAAGTTTTTTAGTGTCGGTGCGCCAAAAATGGATTTCTTAAAAATTACCAAAGGAGAGACCATCTGGGTCGGCAAGGGGTCGAATTCTTGAGGAGAGGCGTCTGCTCCCCTCCCCCACACTCGCCTAAGCCCGCCCCTGAATCATAGCCTAGTTGACAGTACAGTACATTCCAAAAGTGAAAACTTTTTTTTAGCAAATTTTTTTTGAAATGTTCTTGAAAAACGCTAACTGAAGCTCCAAAAATTTGCCGTCTAATAGAAAAAAAAATGTTTATAAAATTGCTTGAATTATCTTACTCGCTCTAGCTTTACTTGCTGTAATGTGGACTTAAACAAAAAGTTTTGAAACGGTTTTTTTCATTTATGAAAAACTTTAAGCATCGATTGAATTGACTTGAAAAGGATATATTATGACAAATTGTTTGACCACCTTTTAATCGTGGTAATTGTCTGCTTTGAAAAAATGGACAAATTTGACAAAGTGTGCTTACTTTTAAAACATTTAAATACAAAGAAACTAGCCCAAAAAGCCAGTTTTGTGGTATAAATGTCTGCAGTATCCATACCAGGAATGCTTCCTTCCCCATATCTGATATTTTCTACATTCCGAACTTTGTTCACGTAGTTCATATAGCAAAAAAAGTTTAAGTATAAAAAACTCAGAAATTTATCAATGACTAATCTCATCAAAACATTTGAAGCATTTGAAGCAATGTAAAGCAATTGAACCTCAAAAAAGAAACATGGATGCTTACAAGTTTCGGAACTCATTTTAATTAAAAAAGTTTGTAGAAATGTTTTAGGAAATGATTTTCTTGAAAAATGTTGAAATTTTCAATAGTAGAAACTTTTACCAAGTACGCATTAGCTGCTCTTCAATAACAGCGTTTTATTCTTCTAAATAGTTCATCAGTTTTTAGGGAGTTACATAATCAATATCAAAAATTGCTGTCCTAAACTCGAGAAAAAAATACATATCCAAAAGAAAATAGTAGTTTTTTTTAAGAAAAAAGACAAAATGTGCCCTTTTAAATGTTCGTTTTTGGTCGTTTAAAAATTTCTTTATTTATTACTCAGTGAAATGAGATGATTCTTTGATCTGTTTTTAAAAGTTTTTTTTTAACTTTTGTCAAACCTTTCCAAAAAAGACACAACTATCTGATTTTAACGAATCAGATACTTACTACTAAGATACTTTAGCCATAATAAAGTATCTAAATTTCATACTACTACTTATATGTAAAAAGTACTACTAAATTTTGCCTCGTTCTTCATATTAATTGTTTTTGCTTGATATTACTGATTTAATTTTTTCATGAGTCAATTTGGGTCACTTTGGTAATAATCACTGATCAGCTTTATTTAAAAAATCAAAAATCCATTTGCTTGCGCTTTTTAAAACATCTTTTCTTGTTATAGTCTTACATCTTATTTTACTTATTTTAAAAAAGCGCTTTCTGGGATGTTGTGAATAGTCGTTGCCTTTAACAGAACTACCTTGAAAAAAAACCGTGCAATAACTCGTGAAAATGCCATATTTTTAGGTATATTTGTTACCAATCTGTATTTGTCAATCTTTACAGCAGTTGACATACAACACATACACATATTGCAGGCTAGAGGATAGAAGTTGAGAAGGACGCCATGAAGTCAAAAATCCGTTTTCGAAAAACGAGAAAAAACAGGTCGTTCAAAACTTTTTAAGTCTCAAATGTTGTTCAATTTGAACAAAAACGGTGATATGTTACAATAGGTGGTAATGTTGAGTATAGTGCATGTATTAAATTTCAGAACTATAATGCATAATATAGTCATTTCATTTTCAATCAATTATACTACTCGTAAGATAGTTTTGTAAATACATTACTCTGTAAAGTGAAATGCTATTCAAAGATGCAAAATTCGTACTTTTTTTGCTTAAAAAATTTGGATTTTGAAGCAAAGTAAAAATTTTGTGCGAAGTATAACGAAAAGCCATCAAACTATTGAAATGGAACCTACCACCTATTGTAATATATCACCCAAAAACAAGTCAACAAAACAATGCTTGGCGTTGAATTCGAATTAAGACAATTTTTACCCTGTTATCATTAGACAGACAACCTTTAAATAGTTGTTTTTTGAGCCAAAAAATTGAAATAAAAAACTATAAGCTGCAAAAAAATTTCAAAAAGTTTAAAAACAGGTTTTTACGTTAAAACACTAAAGCTCATCGTTTTTTGCCATTTAATAAATCTATTTTGTGCAGCATTTAAACCAATATTACAAACAGCAAAACTAATTAAGCCAAAGATTTTTTAAAGCTAAATTATTAGAACAAAATCAACTAATTGCGTCTTTACAATTTCTATGCACGACACACTTCAATGGTGAAAACTCCTTGATCTTTAAAGAAAGCGCATGCTTTAGAACTTAAATTGAAAAGATAAAAATCAAGCAGACAAACGAGGCTCCGAAAATTTAAATTCTTACCAATTTATTTGAAACCCAATTTATAATCTGAAAAAAAAACGCTTTGATACAATCACCAGAAATAAGTTTACCAAGTCTTATATTTTGAATTTAGACCAAAAGAGTGTGAAATTTGCTGATACTGAAAGCAAACTAATTTCGTAGAATTATAGAAATGTAGAAAAATGTTTAAGGAAAAAATTTCGTAGAATTTTAGAAAAAAATTATTTAAGGAAAAATTTTGCGATATTAGGTACCCTTGTTCTTGCAAATAAAATGATAAAAAATTTCTTACAAACGAAAAAAAAAATGTTTTTTTTTATAGTTATTATATTTCAAAAGTAACTTATTAAAAAAATCGGAGTTAAGCAAACAATGCGTTACTTCATACAATTCATTAGCAAAATAAGGCAAAATAATCTTTAAAACGTCTCAAATTTTTTTGAAGCTTGCACTTTCAATAACAAGCATTTTGGAGTTAATTAAATTCTATTTCCTGATTTTTTCTGTATTTTTTATTTTATGATTTTTTTAAAAACTAAATGCAAATTTTTTTAAATTCCGAATTCTTTCAGGTCAAGCTAATATTTTAAAAATTGTTTTGCGCTTTTTGCTAACCTGCGTTTGTAAGGATTTTGTAATTTTCAAATTTTTACTGTTTTTTTAAAATATCATTTCAACGTATTTAAGTTTTGTAAATACTAATGTCTTTTGACTAATTTTCTAACAATATAACTAAAGACATAACTTTTTGTGGCTTTTCCAATGAAACTTTAGATAAAATCATGATACAATTCATATTTAAAAACTTATTAGAAAAAAAATATCTAAATTTCTTATATTAAATTAACGAAAAAAAGTAGCAGGATCTAACCGAAATTTTAACTTAGTTATTAAAAGATTCCTTTTAAATCAGAGCAAAGCGCTTCAACCGTCCTCGAATAGTTTTTACATCAAACTTAAACTAAAATTTTGGTCTGCCACATATCAAATATTTTCTCGTAAATTTTGAGACGAACTAATATGGCATATTAGCTTATCTCAAATCATTTTGAAGCATTTATAAGTGCGGGATATAATTACGTATGGATTACGTATTGAAAGTCTCTAATTTACCCCGCGTGATTACCATCCAGAATTGGGCTTTTGGAAGTACTACAGTTTGGCAATCTGAAAAATTAAGGATCCAACTCTGGGCGCTGACAGTTTTCTCAGTAAATTTGGTCTGAAAACAAAAAAAACAACACAAGCATGTATACACCTCACATTTTTAAGAAACGAAACATTAAACTATCAAAAAAAGTTGTTTCTGTAGTTTTTGGATTTGGATTTTGCCCAAATGAAAAATATTTAGAACTAGGTGTTTAAATTATTTGCTGACTTTCGAAGAAAATGGAATATTTATGCTCGGCATAGTTTTTTCTTATTCAATCAATTTTCGCCCGTCAAAATGAAAATTTCATCCAGGGCAGTTTTAGGGGGTTGGGGGGGGGGGGGTGTTAGCGGACGCGAGCAGTCTTGTTTCGAGCAGTTTTGTTTCAATTTGTTTGTGTACTGAATTCTTTGTGAAGCTTTTGATTTAGAACTGGTTTTGATGAAAAATATTAACTTTTCATCAGAAACAAATTAAATGCAATAAAAAAAAAATTTTAAATTGAGATTTCTGCAAAAATCATCCCCTCACACGCCATATAATGTACAAAGTGATAGATTTTGCTCCTAGTAGCACAAATTTGTCTGAAGAAAAAAAACCATAGTGATCGAAGTAATAGTTTTCAACAAAAAGTTTTCATATCCCATTGAAGATATCGATA